TGGGATGGAAAAGAGGTGGGAGAACTGTGTTATTGATCAGGGAGAATATCACAGCTGGACTTATCACTTATAAAAGTATTACCTCACGTGACTGCGGCCTTTCAGTTGTTTCAGCGGCGGGAGTCCGGGAGGAAGCGCGAGGGCAGCCTGGGAAGGTAAGCTTTTCGATTATAAAAGTCTTACCTCGCATGACTCCATTTTTGGAGTGAGTAAGTGATGTAAGATATTTGGGCGGTTGCTTTACCTGAAACACTACCCAGGTAGTGTCTCCCTCTCATCCTCCTCCTCTAACCAAAAAAAATGGTTCTGAGTGCTGATTTGGTAAGGCTATTAGTTTTTTTTTAATAGTCTGTTTGGGAATTCAGAACAGTGGGAATGGATGTTAGGGCAGTTGCATGCTCCTCCTGTAGAATGTGGGAGGTAAGGGTCACCACTAATGTCTCCACTGAATTCATTTGCGGGAAGTGCACCCAACTCCAGCTCCTTGGAAACCGCGTTAGGGAACTGGAACTGGAGCTGGATGAACTTCGGATCATTCGGGAGGCTGAGGGGGTAATTGAGAGGAGTTACAGGGAGGTAGTCACACCTCAGGTACAGGAGAAAAGTAGATGGGTTACAGTCAGGGGACGGAAAGGGAACAGGCAGACAGTGCAGGGATCCCCTGTGGCCGTTCCCCTCAAAAACAAGTATACCGTTTTGGATACTGTTGAGGGGGACGACTTACCAGGGGTAAGCCATGGGGTACAGGTCTCTGGCACAGAGTCTGTCCCTGTTGCTCAGAAGGGAAGGGGGGAGAGGAGGAGGGCATTAGTCACTGGGGACTCCACAGTTAGGGGGACAGATAGGAGACTCTGTGGGAATGAGAGAGACTCACAGTTGGTGTGTTGCCTCACAGGTGCCGGGGTCCGTGATCTCTCGGATCATGTTTTCGGGATCCTTAAGGGGGAGGGGGAGCAGCCCCAAGTCGTGGTCCACACAGGCACCAACGACATAGGTAGGAAAAGGGATGGGGATGTAAGGCAGAAATTCAAGGAACTAAGGTGGAAGCTTAGACCTAGAACAAACAGAGCTGTGATCTTTGGTTTGTTACCTGTGCCACGTGCTAGCGAGGCAAGGAATAGGGAGAGTGAGCAGTTGAACACGTGGCTACAGGGATGGTGCAGGAGGGAGGGATTCAGATACCTGGATAATTGGGGCTCATTCTGGGGTAGGTGGGACCTCTACAAACCAGAGGGGTACCAATATCCTGAGGGGGAAATTTGCTAATGCTCTTCGGGAGGGTTTAAACTAATTCAGCAGGGGGATGGGAACCTGAGTTGTAGCTCCAGTGTACAGGAGGTTGAGAGTAGTGAGGTCATGAATAAGGTTTCAAGGTCGCAGGAGTGTACCGGCAGGCAGGAAGGTGGTTTGAAGTGTGTCTACTTCAATGCCAGGAGCATCCGGAATAAGGTGGGTGAACTTGCAGCATGGGTTGGTACCTGGGACTTTGATGTTGTGGCCATTTCGGAGACATGGATAGAACAGGGACAGGAATGGTTGTTGCAGGTTCCGGGGTTTAGATGTTTCAGTAAGATCAGGGAAGGTGGTAAAAGAGGGGGAGGTGTGGCATTGTTAGTCAAGGACAGTATTACGGTGGCAGAAAGGACGTTTGATGAGAACTCGTCTACTGAGGTAGTATGGGCTGAGGTTAGAAATAGGAAAGGAGAGGTCATCCTGTTGGGAGTTTTCTATAGGCCTCTGAAAAGTTCCAGAGATGTAGAGGAAAAGATCGCAAAGATGATTCTGGATAGGAGCGAAAGTAACAGGGTAGTTGTTATGGGGGACTTTAACTTTCCAAATATTGACTGGAAACGCTATAGTTCGAGTACTTTAGATGGGTCAGTTTTTGTCCAGCAGGAGGGTTTCCTGACACAGTATGTAGATAGGCCAACAAGAGGCGAGGCCACATTGGATTTGGTACTGGGTAATGAACCAGGCCAGGTGTTAGATTTGGAGGTAGGTGAGCACTTTGGTGATAGTGACCACAATTCGGTTACGTTTACTTTAGCGATGAAAAGGGATAGGTATATACCGCAGGGCAAGAGTTATAGCTGGGGTAAAGGCAATTATGAGGCGATTAGGCAAGACTTAGGATGCATAGGATGGAGAAGGAAACTGCAGGGGCTGGGCACAATTGAAATGTGGAGCTTGTTCAAGGAACAGCTACTGCGTGTCCTCGAGAAGTATGTACCTGTCAGGCAGGGAGGAAGTGGTCGAGCGAGGGAATCGTGGTTTACTAAAGAAGTTGAATCTCTTGTCAAGAGGAAGAAGGAGGTTTATGTAGAGATGAGGTGTGAAGGCTCAGTTAGGGCGCTTCAGAATTACAAGTTAGCCAGGAAGGACCTAAAGAGAGAGCTAAGAAGAGCCAGGAGGGGACATGAGAAGTCTTTAGCAGGTAAGATCAAGGAAAACCCTAAAGCTTTCTATAGGTATGTCAGGAATAAAAGAATGACGAGAGTAAGATTAGGGCCAGTCAAGGACAGTAGTGGGAAGTTGTGCGTGGAGTCTGAAGAGATAGGAGAGGCGCTAAATGCATATTTTTCGTCAGTATTCACACAGGAAAAAGACAATGTTGTCGAGATGAATACTGAGATACAGGCTATTAGACTAGACGGGATTGAGGTTCATAAGGAGGAGGTGTTAGCAATTCTGGAAGGTGTGAAAATAGATAAGTCCCCTGGGCTGGATGGGATTTATTCTAGGATTCTCTGCGAAGCTAGAGAGGAGATTGCAGAGCCTTTGGCTTTGATCTTTATGTTGTCATTGTCTGCAGGAATAGTGCCAGAAGACTGGAGACTAGCAAATGTTGTCCCCTTGTTCAAGAAGGAGAGTAGAGACAACCCTGGTAATTATAGACCAGTGAGCCTTACTTCGGTTGTGGGTAAAGTGTTGGAAAGGATTATAAGAGATAGGATTTATAATCATCTGGAAAGGAATAATTTCATTAGGGATAGTCAACACAGTTTTGTGAAGGGTAGGTCATGCCTCACAAACCTTATTGAGTTCTTTGAGAAGGTGACCAAACAAGTGGATGAGGGTAAAGCGGTTGATGTGGTGTATATGGATTTCAGTAAAGCGTTTGATAACGTTCCCCATGGTAGGCTATTGCAGAAAATACGGAGGCATGGGATTGAGGGTGATTTAGCGGTTTGGATCAGAAATTGGCTCGCTGTAAGAAGACAGAGGGTGGTGGTTGATGGGAAATGTTTATCCTGGAGTTCAGTTACTAGTGGCGTACCTCAAGGATCTGTTTTGGGCCACTGCTGTTTGTCATTTTTATAAATGACCTGGATGAGGGCGTAGAAGGATGGGTTAGTAAATTTGCGGATGACACCAAAGTCGGTGGAGTTGTGGATAGTGCGGAAGGATGTTGCAGGTTACAGAGGGACATAGATAAGCTGCAGAGCTGGGCTGAGAGGTGGCAAATGGAGTTTAACGTGGAAAAGTGTGAGGTGATTCACTTTGGAAGGAGTAACAGGAATACAGAGTACTGGGCTAATGGTAAGATTCTTGGTAGTGTGGATGAGCAGAGAGATCTCGGTGTCCATGTGCATAGATCCCTGAAAGTTGCCACCCAGGTTGATAGCGTTGTTAAGAAGGCGTACGGTGTGTTAGGTTTTATTTGTAGAGGGATTGAGTTTCGGAGCCATGAGGTCATGTTGCAGCTGTACAAAACTCTGGTGCGGCCGCACTTGGAGTATTGCGTACAGTTCTGGTCACAGCATTATAGGAAGGATGTGGAAGCATTGGAAAGGGTGCAGAGGAGATTTACCAGGATGTTGCCTGGTGTGGAGGGCAAGTCTTATGAAGAAAGGCTGAGGGACTTGAGGCTGTTTTCGTTAGAGAGAAGAAGGTTAAGAGGTGACTTAATAGAGACATACAAGATGATCACAGGATTAGATAGGGTTGACAGTGGGAGCCTTTTTCCTCGAATGGTGGTGGCTAGCACGAGGGGACATAGCTTTAAATTGAGGGGTGATAGATATAGGACAGATGTCAGAGGTAGGTTCTTTACTCAGAGAGTAGTAAGGGTGTGGAATGCCCTGCCTGCAAAAGTAGTAGACTCGCCAACTTTAAGGGATTTTAAATGGTCATTGGATAAACATATGGATGATAATGGAATAGTTTAGGTTAGATGGGCTTTAGATTGGTTTCACAGGTCGGCGCAACATCGAGGGCCGAAGGGCCTGTACTGCGCTGTAATGTTCTATGTTCTATGGACTGAGGGAAGATACTTTGGAGGGCTCATTCAGCGACACCCTATTGGTAGAGGCCAGAACAAAAAGAATACAAATCACTTTGATGGTATTATACTACAGCCACCAGGAAATAGAGAAACACATATATGGACAGATTGTTTATGCTATAGTGCATGTATCAGCCTGGCCACGTTAACTATACCATGTGCCGTGTGTTTTATGCGCCAGACATGGTCAGAACAAAATGAACCCAAAGTTGAATAATAGTGATAGCTGGAAATTCCTGAAATGTTGAGACTAGGTCCTGAACAAGTTCCTCAGTCAATCAGTGACAGAAGAATTAGATACATCCTTGAAAAGCAAACTTTTTCAAAGATATGTCAGGGGTGTAAGGATTGGGACTCTTCAGATAGCTCTCTCAAAGGCCTGGCACAGGCACAAGGGGTTGAGTGGCCATTCCCTCTACTGCATGATTCTATGAGGGTATGGACTGAATTAGTGAATATGGACAGCCATCATATCTTATTCTTAATACTCCCCTTGCCTAAATACTTATTTTGAGAGTGGAGTCTTTGGTTTATCAACAAATCCACTGGTATGTCAATTGTGCAGCGTGAGCAGGAACTGTCATAAGAACTATTTGAAGCCTATAAGAAGACCGTACACCAAGTTTAAGTGAAGTGCTTGCCCATGCTCTATTAGGAATCTACTCGGAGTAAGATTGGCACTGATGTGTGGAATCAAATGATCCTATTTTAATACCTCAATGGTTGCTTTTGCTAAGCAAAGTTTCAATTCCTTTCGATCCTCACATTCTCGACTAATGATGTTTTCGACCACCTGCAGGAAAAGTAGATTGTGTGAGAGAAGGAGCAAACACATGCTTAAAACTGCCTCAATCTTAATCAAACTGTACCAGACCTCGAAATTTTTTATTGAGTAAAAGTGAGGAAATCCACAGAGCCTATTGAACATTCCTCAGTCTCCTAGATCACAGCACTGAAATAACATTATTGCTCTGCACAAACCCACACTGTTTCTAGTTTCAACGGCACACTGCAACATTGAGGGCTCAGCTCACAAGCTAATGGCTTTGCCCTCACTTACAGTGGTTGAATAATTCCAATAGGTGGAAGATTGACAAGTATGAAAAAGCAAGCAGTGCAGTGGAGAAAATCCAATTTAGGGATGCTCCTGACTTGCCGTACTGAAGCACAGGTTGACTGGAGGTGAGTTTTCTCATAAGAGAGAGCACAGTACGTAATGTTTTTAATTGACAGCGCTATTCACTGATTGGCTGCAGTGGTTAGTGACAACAAATTTACTGCTCTTGCCTATACTATGTAGAAAGAGATGGCAGGAAGGTCACAATGGGTGAGACAATGGGTCTTTGATGGCAGTGCCATGACGAGTGAGAGATCTTCCATTGGGCTATCAATCACATTTGTGCACTATAAGTTCAACATGACCTTTTTTTTCAGAAATACACTTCATTAATAAAATTTATGGCTATTTATGTGGCAATTTCACTCACATGATCAGCTTTCTGGAATTTAATGCTCTCCTGCAGGACCTCCTTGCGCATTTGCCCAATTTTCTCAGCATTTTGCGCAATCTCCTTTTCTGCCGTTTGGTAATAAGCATTCTTGTACTTTTCTGAAAATTAATTCAAAAGCATAAATGGATCACCTCATTTTTTGTGGGGAAATTTACAATGTTCTGCTCCACAATATTCTGAAGCAGATGGATCAATTTAATTCAACCATTGCATGCATCTCACTGGCAAATCAGAGAATTTGGTTTTGTTCACAAGGCACGGAATACTCAGTGAATATGTGGAAAAAAAAACTGACTGCAAGCAGAAGAGACACTGAGGATTCAGTCTTAAATGCGTGAATTGGAGTGGGGGAGCAGTAGAATATGGCCAGCAGAGAGAGTAAAGAGTCACTGAGATTTAAATTTGGCAGTGTGACCAGTAGAAAAGCTTGTGAGGTGTTAGAGTTACAATAAGATGATTTAAACATCCCTTTTTCTGTCTGCAGTGGCCAATGTGCTGACCATTCTCAACCATCCTTGCTTGCAAATGTCACCTACCATGCCTAACATTAGATGCAATTCTGATATTGGACAACATTTACCAAATAATCTTTACTGTGCTAAGAATTATACCAGAAATTAATTTAAAACAATCCATTAGGTTCACTGTATGGCTCATTTACACAAAGTTAAATATACTAAAACACGGGACCCTGTTGTTCTTACTCAAAGCAAAAATACTACCCCAGTCTTTAAAAAACACATTGTACCCTTTAAGAGGCTATTAGGTTTGTAAACAAATAAACTTCTTGATTGACTGGCTCCAATGACAGATTCCATCACAGTGATGTAAACCTTCAATCAGTTAGTGTTTTTTTTAAGAGATAGTAGGAACTGCCAACGCTGGAGTCTGAGATAACAAGGTGTGGAGCTGGATAAATACAGCAGGCCAGGCAGCATCAGAGAAGCAGGAAAGCTGACGTTTCGGGTCTGGACCTTTCTTCAGAAATGGGGGAGGGGAAGGGGGCTCTGAAATAAATAGAGAGGGGGAGGCAATGAGAGAAGGTGGGTAGAGGAGCAGATAGGTGGAGAGAAGATGGACAGGTCAAGGAGGCGGGTAAGAAGCCAGTACAAGTGAGTGTAGGTAGGGAGTTGGGGTGGGGGTTGGTCAGTGAGGAGGGAGGGGCGGGAAGACAGACAGGTCAAGGAGGCGGGGATGAGGCTAGTAGGTAGGAAGTGGGGATGGGGGTTGGTCAGTGAGGTGGGAGAAGCAGATAGGTGGGAGAAAAGACGGACAGGTCAAGGAGGCAGGGACAAAATGGGCTGGTCTTAGGATGAGGTCGGGGGGGTGGGGAGATTTTGAAGCTTCTAAAGTCCACATTGAAACCATTGGGCTGCAGGGTTCCCAGGCGGAATATGAGGTGCTGTTCCTGCAGCCTTCAGGTGGCATCGTTGTGGCACTGGAGAGGTCCTACATGTTGACAGCATGGGGTTATAGAGGGGCCTTCAAGTAAGTTTCACTTCACTTCTGCACACAGTATGGGAATGCCAGAGATCATCTGTTTTTTCTCTTTTTCATTTACAGGATGAGGGTGTTGCTAGCTAGGCAGCATTTATTGCCCATCCCTAATTGCCCAGAGGGCAATTGAGAGTCAACCACATTGCTGTGGGTCTGGACTCACCTGTAGGCCAGACCAGGTAAGGATGGCAATTTCCTTTCCTATAGGACATTAGTGAACCAGATGGGTTTTTCCAACAATCGGCGATGGTTTCACGGTCATCATTAGATTCTTCATTCCAGAGATTTTATTGAATTCAAATTCCACCATCTGCTGTGGCAAGATTCGAACCCCGGTCCCCAGAATGTTATCTGGGTCTCTGGATTAATAGTCCAGCGATAAAAGAACGAGGCCATCGCCTCCCTCTGTTTAATCAAGCCAAGGAACTGCTGTCGGCGTCTGGGCAGGGAGTGTGCCTGATGCTGATATCAGGACAGTATTTGTGCCAAGAATGAAAAAAACTTCTAGTGTTGTATCCTAACCCTAGTGGACACTGGACAATGAGCTGTATCAAAGTCAGCACTATGGCATCTGCTTGTTTCAAGAATGCTGTTCAGACAGACATGCCTGGTGATAGTCAGATCCAGCTAGTTCCAATGCCCTGAAATTCAAGGTCCCCAGAACACCTTGTTGCCCCTTCCAAAATAAGGTGTTAGTTACACCAAGCTCATGGTAGCAGCAAAGTTCAAATTGCCTCAGTTTCTATTTATATTTCAAGATTATGATGTCAGAGGCAGGAGGGTCACACTCCATGTTCCTCTCTGACTCTTGCATTGAAATCCCCTGGTAGTTAAGGCTGCTTACTAGATAAGGATTCTGCTGATAGCAGGGTCAAACTGCTCTGTCGCCTACATTTCTTCCTAAACCACAATTTTTTCATGGGAGAAAGGGTTATGGAGACTGCCAATATCTACTGTATGACCATAGCAACACCCTGACCATTCAGAGTCTGTCTGCTTGGTCGGACATTTTTCAGTTATCTAAAATTGACAGATATCAGTTCCTGCTGTGTCCCTACACCAACCCAGCACCCTCTTCTCATGCTGCATGAAGTGTGTTCCCTTTCCAACATTGAGAATGTCTGCTGACACCCTGAAAAGATTCTCAGCACACCTGTGCAAAACACAATTGTGGATCACCCTGCTTGTACTAATAGTGACATCATTCCATCTGTTCACTCGTATTTATTGTGCTTTTCTTTTGGGGGGCGGGGGGTTGACATAGGCATTTTTTTTAAACTGGTAGAGCATTTCACAAAATGTCCATGCGAGAACCCTCTGCATATGTAATGTGAACCGTTCAGGATGTGTTCTTACATTCCAGTCCTGATGAATGGGAGACTGAAAGCTTCAACTTTATGATTTTTTTAAGCAAAAGACTTCAGTGCTACCAAGCAGTTAAGGATTACTGAGGTGGTGAGTGTCTACACAGTTAGGTAACTGTGCGCAGACAGCCTGAGGCTTTGAGGAGATGATCAATGGGAGCACCCTGCCAATGACATGCATTTGAAAACTGGATCCATGGCATAAAGTCTACTTTATCAGCAATGGTGCATGAATGACTTCACCCTACACAACAGCAACCAGAACCTGAACATGAACATGAACCTGGATGTGGCAATAGCTCACTGCCATTTCCAGTCATCTCCAAATTATCCAAACAGATTATCATGTAAAAATGGAGACAGGAATCGCATACAAAATACTGTATGGAGTTTCTTTGTTCAGGAATATTATTCTCCTTCTGTCTTCCTGACTCCACACCATTTTCATGTGGTTCTTTTCTGGTTCTGGAAGACCATTGGTGCAACACACATGCAAAATTTTTTCAGGACCTTCCAAATCCCCACTGTGAGGGCCACCGGAGAAACTGTCTTTTGTGAGCCCTTAAAAAGGGCACCAGGAAGAGGTTGTGGTCACTTGGGAAGCCTCTTCAGGAGCCAGGAACATTCTGTAAATAGGTGTAAAATGTCAGTGTTAGATTCTGAGTTATAATGCGTATGTATTTTACTGCAGTGATTCAGAATTGGGATCTATACTGAGAAAGCAACTTGACCTTTACATCGGTCAGCATTGTGTAAATGTCATGCACTACAGCACTTTACATTTGTCTGCGTTGTGATAATTCATTTAAAAAAGTTCTTAAAAGTCATTTCAGCCTCTACTAGTAGGTTTTGTGTTGTGATTTAAATCAACAGACAGCTACAACCAGTAAAAAAACCCTGCTTCTGAAAGTGAACAAAAGCTTGCTTGTCTTCATTAATTTGCAGGCACACTATTTTGAGTTAGAAGTGGATACCATTCTGCATGTCAGTTTCAAGCAACACAGCTGTAACTTTTCTTTTATAACTGTAGTCACTATGAATGCTCAAATCCGTTTCAAAGTTGCTATTAGGTTCAGGTCAGTAGATGTCCCATTGCCAATGTAATGTGATTTGTCCGAGACAACAAGGTGCAGAGCTGGATGAACACAGCAGGCCAAGCAGCATCATAGGAGCA